GCCGCTCCCAGCGCCCGCCGCCGCCCTCCGCCATGGCCGCCGCCGCCGCGCGGCACCACGGGAGAGGGGCGGGGCGCCAGGCGGCCTCCTCCCTCCCTTCCTGTCTGCCTCTCTCCCTACCTGCCTGCCTGGCGCGGGGCTGCCGGAAAGGGGGTCCCCGGCCCCAGCGCAGCCCCTCGGCCCCGGTATCCCGCCCACGGGCGGGCGGCTACGGGCGGCCCAGCACTACCCTCCATTACCCCTGCCCTACGCTAAGATGGCGGCCCCCGCGGCATCTACCCGCAGCCAACATGGCGCTGGCAGCGCTTCCGGCCCCGCCCCGGCGCCCCCGCGCCGCTCCCGGCGTGCCGCGCGCGGGGCCGGTCCGCTCCCAGAGCTGCCAAAATGGCCGACTTCGAGGAGCGGGTGTCGGACGAGGAGAAGGTAGGAGCGGGACGGGCGGGGGGCCGCGGCGGGCGGCGTGCGGCCCGGGCGGCGTTCCGCAGCCTCGCCCTGCGCCCGCAGCGCCGCCGCGGCCGGCGAGGAGCAGCCCCTACCGCGCCCCCGTGCCGCACGGTCCGGGTTTCAGKCGGGGTTTATCGATACCTTCCCCTGTTTTAACCAAGGCGCTGCAGGTTTAGCTTAATATTTCCACGTGATGCACGTAACTTTAAATGCCGTAGACTCGAGGTGYTAGTTAACAGCCTTTGCGCGCTGTTCAGTGCAAATATTTTAGAACAAAAATGCTTTGGTCTTTACCACATACCCGATATCTCTTCAATGCGGTAGAAAATGTATATTTTGTCTGTTGTCACTTAACTGAATTTCTTTCCCGCTGCTGAAATCGTAGTCATCGTTGTATTTGATGCGAGAAATAAAAAGTAAAGCTTTATTGTGCCGGGTGTTGTGCTGGTATGGATTTTGAGAATGAAGTTGTGAGTTTTGCCACTGCTTTAAGAAAATGCAAAGAAGGTAAGCAGAAAAAACAGGAGGAATCGGCCTTTCCTTGCACAAGCAGCAGTTCCTCATCCTCTGCGGGCAAGTTTTAAGCCAGCTAAGGCTCAACCTAGTCCAGGTCCAGCTGAGCTGCCCCTTGCTGCCCGTGTAAGGTGCTTTTGGTGCCGCTTTCCTGTCCCAAGCTGCTGGTTGCATCGCTTCCTTCTTAGCTACTTTTCCCCGTTTTAGAAAAAGGAAGCTGTTTTTTGCTAGCAGCCTGAAAGCTACCCAAAATGGTAACGAGGAGCCAGGAAATAGGTCAGCTTGCAGAGAGGCTTTTCATGCTTCTGCGAGTGAACATCCTGCCAGGGTGCTGACATCCCCGAAACAAACCAACAAACCAACTCTGAAAGCACCGAGAAACACTTCCCATGTCTGACACGAATCACGTCACTCCTGTGGTCCCACATTGCACTCCCGATTTTGGTAGCTTGACATAAACATCTTGTTTTGTATTGTATTGTTCCAAAAGAGAGATAGGACTAGTGACGTTGGAAAGAGGTTATGTTTCCTTCCATAGGTTGCTTTTAAGTGGTAATGTGACTAATCATCAACAACCATTTTCAATTAAAACCTGGAAGAGGAGCCGAGTATGTTTTATGTCGTTCCGAGAGGTTCCATTTTGGGACATATCCTGTCTCCCAAGTCTTGTCCAGGAGGATCTCATTCTCTTCAGTACTGTTAAAGCCACAAGTACTTGATAACTTGATAACCATAACCCTCTGTTTAGGATTGATAAATAGTTTGAACAGGATCAATACCCAGGGCACGTGGATTCTGATAACACAGAACACTCACGTTGGATTTTAGAACAGTGCAGCTTTATTCTCTTTAAAAGAGAATGGGTTTTCTTGTTCCAGCTTCAGTGTTCACAAACAGGTATTTTCCTTTTGCTTTCTCAGATATTTACTRCATTGCCTGTAATTCCAAATTCCTAAGTTCTTTCACTATTTTATGAAAGTTTATGACTGGGCTGCAGTACAATTTCCAATAAAATGCATACTTCCAGATAAACGAAGGAATAAGATGCCACAGAATGGCACCAAGTAATCCCTGAGAGAACACGTGCCAGAAGTGCTTGCATGCTCGGTGCGGAATAGTCTGCAGCTCTTTTCTTAACCAGAGATTCCAAAAGGACAGTAGCTCCAGCAGAGACAGCAGCATGGCATTGACAACAAGAAACCATGATGTCCAATAATGAATCCCCARCCAGCTCCAGGCAAATTCAGCAACTAATTGATAAGCCAAGGTGAGCTTAAGAAGAAGTTTCCTCCATTGCTTCCAAGTAGGAGGTTTAAGATGGGAAAGTTTCTTGTCTACATCTGCTCTGTTTTCCTGCACGGGACACACAGTATGGATGAAAGGCAGAAATGTTTCTGTGTAATCAAAATAGTATAAATATAATATTCCAAGTCTTGGAGAAGTGCTTAATGTATGCAGCAAGAAGAGYGTTGGCTTGGGTGTTGCAGCCTTGTATTCCCAAAGACTGTAATGCTGCTTTCCCAGATGCTGATCACTTAATTCCTTCAGGAAAGTTTCTTCATGGCTGCTGTTAGCTGGACTGCAGCACGTGCTCTGCGTGGGACAAGGGGAGTTCAGATRAACAAGAGGCCTCTGCTCTGGGTGTTCGTTCTCAGTCCGTAGATGAGCACTTAGAGTAACTAGAGTGGTCAGAACCCCCAGGAAGAGCCAGCCCCGCTGCGGGCCGACTTTCTGATCGTGCCCGTGCTGATGAAGGCTGTCCTGGGCTGTGGCACTGCTTGTCCTCGTCCTGGCCGGGCCTCTTTCTGCAGGGTTACTGGGAGGCAACGTTTCCTTCRCGCGGTGGAGCACAGGACTAAGCAGCGGAGGGTGTCCCGGTTCCCGCTGAGGTTCGGGTGGGCTGCGTTGCAGGGTGGGATTTGCCTCAGAGTTCCCCCCTAACAAGCTCAGGCACGGCCAGGTCTTGGCCCCGCTGCTTGGGGTGCTAGGAATGACCAGGACTGCGCTACAAGAGGAGCAAGGAAAATCATCTGCTGACATCTGGTGATTTCTTTTTGAGGCACTGTCCATTTCTGTTGACTTGCCGGATTCGTTTTGGAGCTTTCCATCACGTTCCACATTTCTGTCAGTTTTCATCTTTTTCCTTTGCGTYTCCATGCCGCCCTCTGCACTCCGAACAAATCACTGTCTTTTCAAAGGCTGTGAAACATAATTAACTCGGAAAGCAATCCCATGGTAGTTGATGCAATTGATTTACTGTTCTGTTTCTAGAGGGATCAGCCTCTCAGTCCTCGCACGCTGCTTGCAGCTAGTCAGTGGCATCTCCTTCAGCCAGGCAGCAGCACACACAGAGTCGCATCACATGGAACCAACGAGTCTCACAATGTGTGCTGGAAACTCCTTAGCTACCCGGCTGTGYTGACGCTGCTATCTAGTTACAGTGTGACTTATGACAGGGCCTTCTTATTCTTTATATCTTGGAATGGTTTTGTGCTTACCAATAGGGATTACAAAAAGCCACCATTCAGTAATATCCCCAAGAGAAGGGGCTAGCCAGGATTCTTGTTGAATGCGGGTTGAACAGCTCACATTTTCACAGACACCCATGTGAAATTTGCACGTTTTGCTGAGTATATTTAGAGTTGTTCTGCTCAGGTGCACCCAAAAAATCCCTGGTCTCATCTGAGCTATGCATTTTCAAAATGAGAACAGTCTTTCCCCAAATCTAGCACTCCCCCTTACTCTGAGTTGTATTTGTCAATGAATTGCTTCAGTGTTTGTTGTAGCTGTTGTTACCAGTTGTATCTGGTCTTCTCAAGAGAATTTCTGATTACTCTTTTGCTTTATTGTAGGTGCGCATAGCTGCAAAATTCATCACTCATGCACCCCCTGGAGAGTTTAATGAAGTATTCAATGGTAGGTAAACAAAGAAGAACGATCTGGCRGGTTACCCTAATGTTTCAGTTGCTATGAAAGTTCATAGCTGTGTCATTCAGCTTTAGAGGCCAGCAATTACAAATGAAGGAGAGTATACTGTCATTCTATGGCTGCGTATGCTTAATGACATGATTTAATCATTTTAGTGGTTGTATTTGTACAGCTAAAGATGAAATGCAAGAAAAACATTTGATCAGAAAAATCCAATAATTTGGACATTTTCTTTTCCAGATGTCAGATTATTGCTTAGCAATGACAATCTTCTCAGGGAAGGAGCAGCACAGTAAGTACTCTTGTTTCCAAAATATGCCAAATTAGTATCTTAAACACATATGTTTCCCTAGATTTATCATTCAGCAATGAATTATTTGTGGTGTTGAGAAAAATCTACTGTAACTTCTCCCTCAGAAAAATACAATGAAAGGCATGGCAGATTCCATTAAAAAGGCCAAAATTGGAATTCATGCTGTAAAGGCCAAAACATTTTGAGGCTAAAACATTTAATTGCAGCAGGAATGTCTAATCTTGGTGAAACATGATTTGTAAAGCAAATGAAGCCTGAAATACTGAGCAATCCTTAGCCGGAGGTTGTTTTGCTTCTAAGAACTACTCTCAAAGAATGTTTTCAAAATATCTTAACTTGCTTAGTCTCATCAGAAGGCACCTAAAGGTTATGCATGTAGGCTTTCTGATGCCAGAGTTTGCTTTGAGCTATGTGCCATGTCTCTCAGCAGGTTTTTACAACAGAAAATTGCCATAAATTAGTCAACTTACATTTGTTTACCACACTGCTCAATTGTAGCACGTATGCCTCTGTTTTGCCTTGGCCTACTCATATTCCCTTAGGCACAGTTCTGCTTCTGAACTCTGTTTTTCTGGTTATCACGAAATAAATCTTGCCTTAGAGTTGAGATTTTATAGCTATCACTAATAAAAAGCTGAAAATCTTGTAAGAGTCCTGGTGTGTATTGTTTGCAAAATTGCTAAGTTGGACATTTTTTTCGCGTTTAACTTACTCCTGAGTGGAAAATACCTCTGTGCCGTTACAGCTCATGTTTTTTCAATTCCCAACAGTGCGTTTGCACAGTATAACATGGATCAGTTCACTCCGGTGAAGATAGAAGGATATGATGATCAGGTACAAAAGTTTTCTGTTACTGTTTTTGTACACTTTAGGGGTACAAAAGACATATAGCTGAATTGTTCCCTTAAAGCTTTGTCTGTTACTAACTGTTACTGACTAATTTATTGCTCCTTAAGTAAAAGATGCTGAAGTCAYTGAGAGCCTAGTTAGAGTTTGAATGATTAAAGACTGCTGTTCATGTAAAGCTCATTTACAACTCCTTATGTTACTGCATGCTCAGTTCCCACTGAAATCAATAATGAATTCTTAATAGCATTTGTCCACTGTCTTCATTTTTAACTATCCCCAGTTACCCTAAACACACACCTTTGATTATAGCAAGCTAATACTATCCAGTTGACACCAATAAAACATTTTGCATTTGCATTTCCCTTTATAATGCCTCCTATAAAACTTGTTCTCAAACAATTTTGAAAACAACAGTGTTTCCAGAACAGCTCAGGCTTTTCTTTAACCTCTGGACAAGCCACCTGTTCGTATTGTAACTTTAAATACATACAACATTACTGCATACAACCATTTCTGAAACAAAAGACATAAGTCCAATATTACTGTAAAGAGACAGAGTTTACCGACAGTCTCACCACAACTGTTCTGTCCTTAATTAAGATTAGTGCTAAAGATCTTTGTTGTTTTACAAGATGTTGGAGATGAATGAATTAATCCATTGAGACATTAGTCGGGGAGAAACCCAAAACAGTGCTTTTATAGCAGTGTAAGTGTTACTTAATTTGCACTCTTATCTTCTAGGTCTTAATCACAGAGCATGGTGATCTGGGAAATGGCAGATTTTTAGACCCAAGGAACAAACTTTCTTTTAAGTTTGATCACTTAAGGAAAGAAGCAAGTGACCCCCAGCCTGAGGACACAGAAGCAGCTTTAAAACCATGGAGAGATGCCTGTGACAGTGCATTAAGAGCATATGTGAAAGATCATTATCCCAATGGCTTCTGTACTGTTGAGTATCCACGTTGTTTCTTTGAGAACTTTACTTCTATCAATCAGTACTTGACGGCCAGTGCACCAAGCAGTCCTGTTTGAATTGTCCACTTTCACTAATGTCTGTATTATTTTTCCTTATTTTGGAAAAATTAGTTCAAAAGAGGGTGCGGATATATTGATGTGCACATGTATGTAAAGGTCTTTATTAGACCTTACTTGCTCATAGGCATGACTGCACTGCACCTTAATATCTGCAGTTAAGGAAAAGCAGGCATAATTTGCACATACTTGCAAGTAGAAGTGCTGGGCAGGTTCACTAGTGGTATGCATGCCCAGTGCCACAGCACAACACCCAGCCTCCAAAATGCTCTCGAGAACAGAAGATAGCTCTGCACAGCTCTTGTGGTGTGTATTACACAACCTCTTAATTTTTTCTAAATACAGGTTTATGGTAAATCTATAGATGGTCAGCAGACAATTATTGCCTGTATTGAGAGCCACCAGTTCCAGCCCAAAAACTTTTGGTAAGACTATTTTAAACATACTGTATTTTCTTCCTTTCCTAGACCTCAAACAAACTCTTCCTTTACTGGCTCTGACATTCTGAAAGCCAGTAGTTTGGGGCTTCCCAATCAATTCTACTTGTTACGATCTCTTTTCCATGCAGACCCCTTGGCACTTCCCTAAAAGCTTCAGTAATAGCTTGGTGACCTATCCAGAGRGAAGATCATTAGCAAAGCTGGATAGTTATCCCCTTACTTATTCCTGAGCACACGTGTGCCAGAGCCAGCTTGAAGCTTCACTGTTCTGAACTGTGCCTCAGGAATGGGAACTCAGAGTCATATTAGGCACCCCAATGTTGATCACAAAACAATAGGAAGACTACAGAATACGGCCAGTTAATGAGGCTCTTTTTCTTGTTAGAACATGCTGTGGTGTGGTTTTTTTTAGGAACGGTCGCTGGAGATCAGAGTGGAAGTTTACCATCACACCACCAACAGCGCAGGTGGCTGCTGTGCTCAAGATCCAGGTGAGTTACACTGCCCAGCAATAACTAGAGAAGCTGCRTTGCTCCTTCTCTTATACTGAGCTGTTTGGCTCAAAAATGAGATGCTAGAATTCAGAAAAGATGTCCTTTTAGAACCGAGATGCTATTAAAACTATACAAATTAAGGAATTAATTCTTTGAACTTTAGCATTTTAAATATTGCTTAAAATCTGGCCTGTCGTTTAATAMATAGTATTACCCTACATGCCTCCAAGTCTGCTTCGCTTTATAGGGCTAAAATCTATACCATGAATTCTTTTATAATTGCTCTTATTTCAACTCTAGGCGTTTACTGCATTAACATAATCTTGAACAGGCTTGACAAAGAATGAAACCTTTTAGAAAATCCATCCTGCTTTTAGTCTCCACGTAAGCAGAGAAGACTGGCACAACAATGCTGTTGTGCCATTCTGGTAGCATTTGGGGGCTCTAGGGTTTGTAAAATGAGTGTTAATGATAACCTATATCATCTGTCTTTGTCCAGGTTCATTATTACGAAGATGGTAATGTTCAACTGGTTAGTCATAAAGATATCCAGGACTCTGTACAAGTTTCAGTAAGTATGATAGAAGATTTTTTAAATAATAAAACCATTTTTAAAAAAAAATCTCACCAAATGTACACTTCTAGGACTACACCCTCTTAACTCTTTCTTTATGAAAACTAGTGTAATTTTAGGATGAGTAATCTGTGTAGTTATAGAATCACATGGGAAAGAGCTTCCTTTCTTGCTTAAAACTGAACTATGTTAAATGTTCATTTGCTATTGGTTRGTTATCACAGAAATGCCAGTTAAAGAGGAACCACATATGCCTTTCCATCCATGTGCAAGGGAAAAATACTATGAACAGCACCCTGAGTAACAGCACTTTAGTGACAGTAGAGGGAGCAACAGTCACAAAATCCCTCATTTAGGTCAATGAAGCTCTACTTTCGTGGTGCTCACGCTAGGGTGCAGCCCCGTTTCAGCTTGGAGCAAAAGTTCCAGCTAATCCCTGCTTCTGTCTTGCCCTGCACTGAATCACRTCCATAATAACTAAAAGGAGTCCTGCAACGAGCAGGAGGTGAAAGCTGCTATTACTGTCCACTTCATGCATACACAGCCTATCACTTGACAAGAACTATATTGAATAACGTTTATAAAAATGTATATTTTCCCCTTTGCTTTGTAGAGTGATGTCCAGACAGCTAAGGAATTCATTAAGATAATAGAAAATGCAGAAAATGAGTACCAGGTAAGATCAGACATTGTTAAAAAAACATGATGGAATCATATCAATGTTCCTTTACAGTTAACAGAAACATGACCACTAACTGTTTCTAACTTAACGTTGTACTGATTGTAAGAATTACTTGGGAAAGAGCATTTTATTTGCTGACAAGTCAAGTATTGAAGCTATACCTTGCCATTAATCAAAGCTTGCCATGTAGTTATTCTAAAGCATTACAAATGTTATCTGAAAGGGTGTGGGCAAGTCTAAATTTTTTCTCTGTCACAGCTGAAACAATACTAACAAGGACATGGGTGACAGCTTTTTATATTGTCCCCGCCTGTGTGAAGGAAGAAGATTTGATGCAAGACAGACACCTAAAAAAACCCAACTACATTCACAAGACTTTAACAGATAACCTTTTTCCTTGTGCACACACTGGTGACTTGCTATTATTAGTTAATTGGCAGTGTGCCTTCCCCTTGCAGAAAGGGTTTTGTGGCCTTAAGAGACATGTTTTCTCRGAATATTGTGTTACTGCTCTAATTGAACCCCCTTGCCCTTACAGACCGCGATCAGTGAGAACTACCAGACTATGTCAGACACCACCTTCAAGGCCTTACGCCGGCAGCTGCCTGTCACCCGCACCAAGATCGACTGGAACAAAATCCTCAGCTACAAGATCGGCAAAGAAATGCAGAATGCCTAACGCATCGAGTGAGATTTGAGATGTTGGTGTGCAAAAAGAACACAAAAAGAAATGTGATCTTATGCCAAGTAGATGGTTTCTGAACCAGTGCAGCATTTTTCTAGGGCTTTCGAAGTTAACAGGTTTTCTATCCTCTGAGAGAACTGTGGAACGAATAGCATTGCCTGTGTTTTGTGTTCCCTGCCATATAAACTTCCTTTTGTGACTGCATTTACCAGTAGGTCATTTTAATTAAGCCACATTCATGATTCAGAAATACAGTTATTTTCAATCACTATAAAACTGTGCTGGTTGGAAAACTTCCTAGCTGCAAAAGCCCTATAACAAGTCCAGCCGAGGGTGTAGAGCATTCCCTTCACCCACATGCAGCACTCCAGGTACTCCAGTCAGTCTGTTGATTCTGCCAACAGCTCAAGAYGCTCTGCTGCAAGATTTAATAAATGCAAAAGACCAATAAGTTCTCCCATATATCCTTACTACTGACCTCCACAAAGCAAAAAGCCTATAGGCTTAGATTTTACTCTATGAAATGAGTTTACAAGTTTCCCTACAGAAATCCCTCCTCAGCCAGCTCTTCCAGGGATGTAGCCTCCTTTTTTTTTTTTTTTTTTTTCCTAAATATGAAGATTTGAGCCATGTTCCTTGTAAGTGAACATTTTTGCTGTCCCTTCCCTCATGTATGTACGGTTATCAGACATCTGCATTTTTATAGAACTAAGGCTTTTTTGTTGGATGGGATCATTGCCAATCCGTTTAGTCTGGATGGCAATTAAAAATGCAAATGTCTACGGAATAATAGGTATGTTGTGCTTTAATGCTTTGTGGCAGGTTCCTAGAATTTGTATCACAGGTGTATGAATGGATCGTGTACAAAATGATAAATAAACTTGCACCAAAGTAAGAGAAAAAACTCTATTTTGTCTCTATCGTGGCCACTTTCTTCTCACAGTTAATGGGCACGTTGGGCACAGTCTCTTGGCTGCTCTCAAACCTTGTTCTGCTTTGTTTTTCTGTAAGAAGCAGAAGCACCAGGCCCAAGCTGCTGCTTCGAGCAGGAGGCTGSAGGCACGTGGATACCTTCTCCGTCCAAACTACGGACATGGATTCACTGTAAAGYGAAGCTCCTGTAGTCGATTCACTTTGTTTACACTTGTTCCTCACTCGGCCTTTCTGTAGGTTGTTTTTAAATGGYTGGTGTCTTCCTATTTTTACATTCCCAAGGAAAGGGGTTGGGAAGATAGGGCTGGGACTGCCTGTGCGCTACCCTGGAGGTGCTGCACAGCGATACCACAGTGTGACAGTGTTCTATCCTGTGCGAGATATTTTGTCTAAATAAAAGATATTTGTCTTTGCTGTTAAGCCTGACCTACAGGAATCCTCTGTAGGAAATAGTCTAGTAGAAATGCACCAGTCTGCTTTAAAGCTATTCGTGTTTGTCCTTCTGCGATCTCACTTCTGCAAAAATCCTGATSAAAGCAAAACTGCAAATGGTATCTTACGTAGCCCAAAAACTGCAACAGGATTGCTTGCAAAATTAAGCTTTTAGGTTAAAAGGCAAATAGTCACCTAGCTCAATTTTCCCCACTAATTTATCTTATTTTAGCGCCTAGGTGGCTTTGCGCTCGCGCTGTTGAACCTTGCCCGCCGCGGCGCCGCGTGTCCGTGCGCTGCACAAAGCGGGACTTGTCCCCGGCCGGCCGCAGCCGCAGGGGGCCGGGAGCTGCTCCGGCCGCCGCCTGTTTGTGCAAAACGTTCCCTCCCCGCGGGCGCAGACAAAACGAAGCGCCCGCGCGCGGCACCCAGGTCGCCGTGGCTGCAGTCCCATCCAGACAAGTGCCRCAGCAATTCCAGGAATGTGGGGCTGAAGCCGGCACAAGATAAAGCCACGCCGTGCGCACAGCCTTATCTCCCAGCGCAGCCCCAGCCACCGCGCTTGTCCTTCCTGCGCGCCTGGTGCTGCAGCCTGCATCCYGCTCTCCTTTCTCCAGGCTTCACCTGATCATTCCTTAGGGCCAGATCATTCCCCATTACCTCCTCAAGCCCATCCGTTGCTACAGCAGAGACCCAGCTGATCCCAGTTCTAGCTGCTCCTGAGCTCCTGTTTCTTCCTTGGAAAAGGAGTTTGGTGCACTCGCTCACCGGGATTGAGGCGTCACGCAGGTGGCCGTGACACCTATAGACACTGTGAGGCCATGAGCTTCACACAAGATGGGCCAGCCTAGAGACCAACGCACGCGCTGGGCTGGTTCCGCCGCGGCTCCGAACCCACACAGCCCAACGTGGCTCTGGGCACGAGCGGCGCGGGGGGCAGAGCAAAAGGCAGCTCCTGCGGCCAGGGGCCCTCCCAGCCCCATGGCCACAGTGATAAGGGCTCTCCAGTGATAAGGGCTCCCTCTCTGCTCCCGAGGGCAACGCTTGGAGTTTCAGGGCACCACCTACAATGCTGCCATTCTGAAAAGAAAGTGATTTTATGAACTCCACAGGTTGCAAACCGAGCTTTTAAGCACCCATACCTCAGACCTCTGTTAATTTTCCTCCCTCTGCCCCATTTTCTACAGKCCCTAGATAGGGCAGTGATCCCTACGCCCTCTGTAGAACACTCTGGGAGCTGATGAAGGATCTTCATCATTACCCTTGGGGCTAACAGCTGCTCTCCAGCTCCTGCTCAGGGGGCCAAGACGCAGCTTTAGCTGTGAGCAGAGCCTCTTGGAAGCAGCCGCTCCTCCAGAGCAGGTCACACGCACGTCACTCGAGTCCCTGCACTCAAAAACACACTGTATGTCCTTGCCTAGGGCACGGGCAGCCCAGGATGCAGCCTAAGGGCTGTCCCAGCTGYGAGTCCCCTCCAGGCAGCAGCGCTGGGGCTGCAGACAACACCCGCTGCAGCTAGCGGGGTGAGAACAGCAACCTTACCTCGCAGAGCGGGCAGAAGCCCCGCTGCGCGGCCCCGCCAGCGCCCCGGGTGAGGGAGCGCAGCCCACGGAGCGGCTGCAGGGCTAGAGCACAAGGACGGGGCAGAGCCGAGCACGGAGAGCAGCGGCAGCCGCTCCCGCTCCCTCTTTGTAGGGAGCAGCGGCCGCGCGMGCTCGTCCCCGCCGACGGGGACGGGACCCGGCTGCGGGCGCGCGTGTCGGGGCGGGCGCGCGCGTTCCCCGCCCCGCGCGCAGCCCCGCGCTCGTGTCACGGGTGGGACCCGCCGACACCTGCGCGCGGCGGGCGAGCCCTTTCGCTTTCGTTTCCCCGCGCCGCCCGGCCCCGCTCGCTCCGCCCGGCCCCCTCGCCCGGGGCCGCCCCGCTCGGCTCGTCCCGGGCCGGAGCGGTGCCGTTGGGCTCCGCGTGGTCCCGCTCGGGCCGGCCATGCCGCGGCACAGCGTGGCGGAGGCGAGGCGCTGCGGGGAGCACTTCGTGCAGTTCCTGCGGGACACGGGCCGCGAGCAGGAGAGCCGGCGCGAGGCGCTGCGCACCATCTACACGCAGGAGTTTCGGGCCAGGTGAGAGCCTCGGGCCGGTCCCCCCTCCAGGCGGCCCCGGCAGGAGCTCCCTGTCCCCAGTCTGCGGCATCCAGGCTCCGGACAGCAGCAGCTGCCTCCCCACAGCAGCATCACCCCGTCCCGAGCAGCATCTGGGCCAGCAGCTCTCGGCTCCCGGCCAGCATCACCTGCGTCCCCGGGCAGCATTGCCCCGGCCCGGTGCAGGGCGATGGGACAGCCGGCCAGGGCAGGCCGGGCCTTGGGGCTCTCCTTGGTCGCCGGCAGCGGGGCTGCAGTAGCGCCTGCTCTAAGGGCGGTGAGGAGCCACCTGGGCACCTTAAGCTCTGTCCCCAGGGCTTCCCGCGCTCCGGCAGTGGGATCAGCGCAGTCCACGGGGCTGCCGCTCTCGGCCTGGGCTGCAGACACGGGCAGCACCAGAGCTGGCCCAGCCAGACACAGGCGCTGCTTGCGGGCATGGGAGCTGCCTGYGCAGCTCTGCTGCCACCTCCTTGGGTGCCCAGGCCACCCGCTCCTGCCACCAGCACCCGCCACAGCATCGCAGAGCAGAGCCCCAAGCAGTGTCCCTGCTGTTAATCATTGTCCAAGGCTGGGACAAACAACCAGAAGGTCACAGGGATGAGCCCTGTGTGAGGAAACACCACAGGGAGGCAGCCACCCTGTGCCCTAGAGATTCCTTCTGTCACAGGCTGCCCGTCCTGGGGCCAGGCAGGGACTCAGTRGCACAGCTGGAGAGGCCACTGCACAGCTGGAAGGGCCACATTGTCCTGCAAGGGCCATGTCCCTGCTGGGGCAGCCTCCGAGGATGTGACACTGGGGTGGGAGCAGTGCCAAAGTCCCCATCCTTCATCCCCCTGAGCAGAGGCGACTGGCTAGAGGCCCCTTGCCACCACCCTGCTCCCTGGTGCCACCAGCCTGGCCTTGGCTCGCCCCCCCGACTGAACCCCCCTCTCCTCTTCCCTGCACAGCACTGACACRAAAATGCCCAGTTTCTCCTGCATCCTGTTTGCGCTGAAGGTGACACGCTACGCGCAGGTGCGCGGGGGCTCCGTGCACTTCAAGCAGGTGAGGGAGGGAAGGCCGACGGTGCCAGACCTCATGTGCCCCACACACCCCGTGCACCCCATGCACCCTGCACCAACGCGGCTGCTCCTTGCAGAAGAAGGAGAGAGTGGTGGTCGCCGACCAGTACTGGCGACCCCGAGCGGAGGCAGCACCAGTGGCCCCAGCACCAGTGGCCCCGTCGTCCGCCCCGCAGCSCAGCGCTGTCCCCAAGGGCCGCGCTGCCGAGAGGTAAGAGTGGGGCTGCGCGGGCCAGGGCGGCCGCGGGGCGAAGGCTGAGGCGCCCACGCCCGCAGGGCCGAGTTTGTGCGCAGCAAGCACGGCGTGGAGATCATCTCGGAGCACGACGAGGGCGAGGGCGGCGTGCGCGTGGAGCTGCGCCCCGGCGAGGCGCGCACGGCCGCGCTGCGCGTGCGCAACGGCGGCGGGGCGCCCGCCACGCTGCTGCGCTGCCGCCCGCTCTGCCCGCAGCGCGAGTTCTCCTTCTGGGACGAGCACGGCGTGACGCAGGGCCGGGCCCTGCTGCTGCCGCCGGGTAAGGCCAGGCCGCGTGGCGGGCGCCGCGCCGAGCGCCGCGCGCGCTCACGCTGTCCCCTCGCAGGCGGCTCGCACACGGTGCACGTGCGATGCCTGGCCAGCAGCCACGGCTGCTTCCTGGCCACGCTGGTGTTTGAGTTCAGCGCCGAGTCGGGGGAGCCCTTCACCATCGGGCGCTTCCTGGCCGCCGCCGCCGAGAGCGCCCTGGCCAAGGAGCTGGCGCCCGTGGCRCCCTACGAGCCCTACCAGGCCGGGCTGCGGCGCCCACGCACGGTGCTCACCGAGGAGGGGACGCCCCCCGAGAGGTAGCGCTGGAGCGGGAGCTGCCGCTGCAGCGGTGCCGTTTGGCAGCGCCGGCTGGGGACGCCAGGGCCGGCAGCCCCCGCAGCCCCCCGTGTCCGTGCCCAGCGACCTGCACAACGAGCTGGAGAGGGAGGTCCCGCTGTACGCCTACCCSTACCCCAAGAGCCTCAAGGAGGCCATCGCGCAGGGCCCCGGCGCCAGCCCCAGCTGGGCTGCGACCAGGTGAGCGGGACGATGCCCTTCCCTGCACCGAAGGGGCTGCAGAGSCTCTGCAGCGCCCTGGGCAGCCTCCCCGTCCCTGCAGGTCCTTGCTGGAGGCACCCCTGCAGTCGGACAACTACCAGAAGAAGTTCCAGCTGCTGCTGCACCTGGAGGAGATCCAAATGGAGGTGGACATCCGGCGCTACGACATGCAGGACGTGACCATGGTGCAGGACAGGGCGCTGCTCGTCCTCRACGTGCGTGCGGGGTGCGCGGGGCGGGCGGGACGGCGCGGATGTGCGCGGCGTGACCGGCCACGTGGYGCAGGTGCCTGGCGTGGCCGAGAGCCGCCCGTCAGTGCTGCGGGGCGACCACCTCTTCGCCAGCCTCAGCAGCGAGCGGGAGCAGTCCCCGCTCGTGCTCTACAAGGGCTACGTGCACGCCGTGGAGCTGGAGAAGGTCAAGCTGGGCTTCTCCCCGAGGTGGGCGCCGTGCAGCCCGGCGCGGCGGGTACAGCGTGGCAGCCGCCCCGGCGCTCYGCTCACACCGCTCCCCGCAGGCTGCACAGCAAGTTCCCCAACAACCTGCGGTTCGACGTGACCTTCACCTTCAACCGGCTGCCGCTGCAGGTGCAGCACCGGGCTGCGGCGCTGGCCATGCAGCGCGGCCTGGCCCGCGTCCTCTTCCCCTCGTCCTCGTGCCACCAGTCCCTGCTGGACGGCGCCTTCCAGCCTCGGTGAGTGGCGTCGCGCTGGCGGCGGGTGYGGAGGGGCCGGGCGCGCGGTGCTCCCGCGGCTCCCGCTCTCCAGGTGGTTCGACCAGAAGCTGCAGGATAACGAGGAGCAGCGCCGCGCGGTGACGCACATCGTCGCCGGCACGTCCCGGCCGGCCCCCTACCTCATCTTCGGGCCGCCCGGCACCGGCAAGACGGTCACCATGGTGGAGGCCATCAAGCAGGTGAGGGGCGCTTGCGACGGCCACCACAGCAGCCCCGCGACCCAGCGCCACCGCCGCCTCCTGTCCCGCGTAGGTGTGGACGTGTGTGAAGGGCTCGCGCGTCCTGGCCTGCGCCCCGTCCAACAGCGCCGCCGACCTGCTGTGCCAGCGCCTGCTCCAGGACATGCCGGCCCGGCACGTCTACAGGCTCATGGCCAGTTCCCGGAGCCTCCAGGAGGTGCCCGCAGATATCCGGGTAGGTCTGCGCCCCCGGCCCCACCGCGCGGACGCGGCGCGGCCGTCCCACCCAGCGCCGCCTTTCAGCCCTGCTGCAACTGGGACGAGGGCGAGCGGTGCTACGTGTACCCGAGCAGGACGCGCCTGGCGCAGTACCACGTCCTGGTCACCACGCTGGTGACCGCAGGCAGGTGCGCACGGCTGGGCCGGGAGGGCACGGGGGCCGCGGGGGGCGCACGGGGCCTCGGCCGCTGCCCTCTTGCCCAGGCTGGTGTCGGCCAACTTCCCGGCCGGGCACTTCACGCACGTCTTCATCGATGAGTGCGGCCACGCGGCCGAGCCCGAGAGCGTGGTGGCCGTGGCAGGTGAGGTGTGGCGCGGGGGGCCCGCGCGGCCACGCGGCGCCGCCGCTGAGCCCCGCTCCGCACAGGCCTCCTCGCCGCCATGGACCCCGAGAGCAACCCCGGCGGGGGGCAGCTCGTGCTGGCCGGGGACCCGCAGCAGCTGGGGCCGGTGCTGCGCTCGCCGCTGGCCTCCCAGCACGGCCTGGGTGAGCGGGGCAGGGCTCGGGGCCACGGTGCTGCCGGTGCCACCGCCTGCCCCGTGCTGGCTCTGGGGCTGGCTCTGGCAGTGACGGCGTCCCCACGCAGGCACCTCGCTGCTGGAGCGGCTCATGCGGCACAACCCGCTCTACGCCAAGGTGGACGGTGGCTACAACCCCTGCTTYGTCACCAAGCTGCTCTGGAACTACAGGTGGGCACGGGAGGCGGCGCAGGGAGCCGCGGGGATGGCGCCGCAGCCGCTCGCACGGCCGCCTCCCGCGCAGGTCCCACCCCGCCATCCTCAAGGTGCCCAACGAGCTCTTCTACGAGAGCGAGCTGAAGGCCAGCGGCAGCCCCGAGCAGGACGCGCGGGGCCTCTACTGCGCCTGGCCCGCGCTGCCGCGCCAGGTGAGGCCGGGAGGGCTGCGGGCGGCGCGGGAGGCCGCGCGGGGCCACCGCCTGCCTGCGTCCCCAGGGCTTCCCCGTCGTCTTCCACGGCGTGTGCGGCGAGGACCGGCGCGAGGCCCGCAGCCCCTCCTTCTTCAACACGGCCGAGATCGACGTGCTGCTGCGCTACCTCAAGGAGCTGCTGCGGAGCGGGGCCGAGGGCGGCCGCGCCGCCGCCGCGCCTGCCGACATCGGCGTCATCTCACCCTACCGCAAGCAGGTGAGGCCGGGCGGGAGGGCGCCGTGCCGCTCCGCGCGGCTCCGCGCCGCTCCAACCCGCTCCGCGCAGGTGGAGAAGATCCGGAGAGCTGTCACGGTGCTGGACCAGGAGCTGCGGCAGCTGCCGGACATCAGGATGCTGAAGGTGGGACGGGGGCAGCGCGGGGCGCGGGGGCGCCGGCCGCAGCCTCACGGCGCTGCGCCGCCCAGGTGGGCTCCGTGGAGGAGTTCCAGGGCCAGGAGCGCCGCGTGGTCCTCATCTCCACCGTGCGCAGCTGCAGCGCCTACCTGCGCCTGGACGACACCTTCCAGCTGGGCTTCCTCAAGAACCCCAAGGTAGCGCAGGCGCCGGCGCTGCGCGTCCGCCCCACGGGGACTGCCTCCTTCCCGCTCCACTCTCCCGCAGAGGCTCAACGTGGCCCTCACGCGGGCCAAGGCGCTGCTCATCGTGGTGGGTAACCCGGCCATGCTCAGCAAGGACCCCCACTGGCGCAGGTGAGCCCGGCACGGGCGGCGGGCGCGGGGGCAGCGCGCCGAGGAGCCCCGTGCGCCCGCTCCCTGCGCCGCCAGGTTCCTCACGTACTGCAAGGAGGAGGGCGGCTACACGGGGTACCCCTTCGAGGAGGAAGAGGAGGAGGAGCAGCACGCCGAGGACGCGGGGCTGGCCGCCGAGCTGCGCTCCCTGCGCCTGGGCGAGTAGCCGCCACGCGCACGCGGCCGGGGCCGAGGARGCGACGGCCTCGGAGGGAAAGACACGTGCCTGGACCCCACATCACCGCGCTGCAACCAGACCTGCCACCGGCACCCGCGGCTCCCGCGACAGCCGCCTCCTTTTACAAAGAATGTCAAGTTTTTGCGACACGAGTCGCGGCGGCAGCGGGACAGAGCAGGAGCTCGTCCTGGCCCGCGCTGCCCTCGTGCCCCTGCAATAAAGGTTTAATGACCGCCGGTGCCTCGTGTCTGCTCTGGCCTCCCCTGGCTCCTGCCCTTCTGCAGGGCTCCGGGCGCGGGAGCCGTGCGCCCTGGGCAGAAGGATGCGTGACAGCGGTTCCTGGTCCCCAAGCCCTGTTTATTCTCCCCGTTGCACAGTCTGATTTGCTRGTGTCCAGAGCCATTTGAGCCTGGAGGACACGGGGATTTTGCCCCGCTCGGGGCTGGGCGCAGGCGCCGCGTGGGTGCGTGCAGCCGTGCGTTTCGGCAGCAGCCGCTCCGTGCGGCGGCGGCTCCGAGCGGCTCTGCCCACGCGGACCGGGACGGGAGCAGCGTGGGCGGCTGGTGCACTGCGCTGCACCCGGCTCGTCCGCACCAGGCATCCGCAGGAGCGGCCAGGTCCCGAGCGGCTCCGGGCCCGGCGCCTTGGTGCTGCCGGCGCCGTCCAGCCAGGTCCCCGCCGGGCGTCGTGCGCGGCCGGGGCGCCGCTCACAGCAGCGGGCAGCCCCTGCGCCGCTTGTTCTTCCTGACCTGCAAGCCGGCGCGCGTGGCCATCTCGAAGACCTCCCGCACGCCCTCCTTGGTCTTGGCCGAGCACTCCAGGTAGCCAAAGGCGCTGATCCTGTTGGCCATGTCCCTGCCTTCCTCCGGCTTCACGGGCTCCTGGGAATAGTGAGAGGGGGGTCGGGACGGTGCCCAGGAGCGGGGAGGCAGCCAGAGAACCCGGCGCGTGGCCCTACCTGCTTCATCTTGGCGAGCTCCCGTCGCGTGTGCTCGTCGTGCCGCAGGTCCTTCTTGTTGCCAACCAGGATGATGGGCACGTTGGGGCAGAAGTGCTTCACCTCGGGCGTCCACTTCTCGGGGATGTTCTCTGGGGAGAGAGCGTGGCACCGCTGAGCCCTGGGGCCCCGGCACGCGGCCGCCCCGGCGCCGGCCGGCCCCAGCCCTACCCAGGCTGTCCGGGCTGTCGATGGAGAAGCACATGAGGATGACGTCCGTGTCCGGGTAGGAGAGGGGCCGCAGCCGGTCGTAGTCCTCCTGGCCGGCCGTGTCCCAGAGGGCCAGCTCCACCTAGGAGGGAGCAGCGCCGCCTTTGCAGCCGCCGCGGTGCCCGCGAGGACGCGGGGACGGCCGTGCRCCCCGCCGCAGCGCCGCGGCCCCCGCTACCTGCTTCCCGTCCACCTCGATGTCGGCGATGTAGTTCTCRAAGACRGTGGGCACGTAGACCTCGGGGAACTGGTCCTTGCTGAAGACGATGAGCAGGCAGGTCTTGCCGCAGGCGCCGTCGCCCACGATCACCAGCTTCTTGCGGATGGCTGCCATGGCTGCAGGGCCGCGTTCCTGGCGGCTGCCCGGACAAGCGGAATGTGCAGCACAGCGGATCGCAGCCTCACAGCCACCAGCTCCCTCCCGCCCCGGGGCCTGGCCACCCCACAGTGATCCAGAGCTTTTATGACCCCACTGTCCTCCGCCCAGACCGGTTTGGGTTGGGGTCGTAAATCCCTTGGGGCAGACTCTGTGCTGTCCCATCGCGCTCCAGGCTCTTTAAATGATCCCATCAGCTCCAGGGCTGGTTTCACTTGACTCATCTGAACGCAGCCCGAGTCCCAGGCCCTGGCGGGTGACAAGCTGGCAGCCTTTTAGGGGCCTAACATGTGCTTTCTTATGTCTGCTCGAAGGAGCAAAGCCTCAACAGGCAGCCAAGACACCACCAAAAACAACAGAACTGCTCCCAGGCCTTCTCCAAGCGGCTCCTCTAAAGTCATCGCAGTAAAAATAGCAGCGCCCCGACACGGCCATCGCAGTGTGAGTCGCTCTGGGCTTCATGACTCAAGATATGAAGCTGTTGCTGGGTGGGAAGGGGGAATTCCTCTGGAAACAGGATACATCTCTCATCCCGTTCCTGTTACGGCATCTCAGGAAACGGCAGAGAAGGATGTTAACGCTTCGAGGGGGGTCAAAACCGGGATGGGAACCAGTGTGCGATGCCACAAGGAGCGGCAGAGCCGGGTCCTGCGCGTCCCGGTCCCGCAGGCCTCCTCCCGTGCGCTGCAGGGCCATCGATCCCCTGCCTCCRTCCCGCTTGCCATCGGCTTCCAAAATTACCAGGCACGCAGCACCAGGGATGAGCAAAGCGTCTTTATATATCTGCTGGGAAAGCTGCCCAGAGCTGCTGCCCAGGGCCGGCCACATGCGAAGGACTGGGAAGGAGCAGAACGGGGCTCAGGCTCAAGCGGAGCTCGCAAACTGCGCAGTGGCACCAAGTGGCACAATGGGACAGGGCACAGTGGCACCAAGTGGCACAAAGCAGGACAGTGCCGACTCAGCCGGGGGCAGGAACGGACCCCTGCCCCACGCTGGCTTTGCAAGTGCCTGGTCATCCTACACCTTAGGCAAACACTGCCCGCCTCGAGGAGTCTCCTCACAAGCAGTTTATGTGTCTTTTGTGTCAGGGGTATCCAAAAACACGGGCAAGGTTTTAATGCCATCACCCCACGGCATCAAGAGCTGGCTGCTACACTCCTCRCTTCCCAACAATCCTCCTCTCCACTGCAAACAGCAAGTCACCCGGCAAACCTGGTTCAATAACCCATAACCTTTTGAGACAGGGTGACTTCTAGTTTTCCTAAGTGGAAAACAAGCAAAAAGCTGCATGTGCCAACACSAGAACGCGATTTAAGGTCCAGGAGGCCTCATGCAGCCTCCAACCACAGTCCTCACAACTCAGAACTGAGCGCGAAAGGAAGCTGCTGGGCCGCCAGAGACCCTTGGAAAACAGAAAACAAAACGCAACTGGTAGCAGTGCCGGACAGCTAAACACAGCGCGTCCACCGGCGCCTGGCCTGGCCCGGCCGCCCGAGCGGGCGCTCGGCCGCGGGAACCGCTCGGCCGCGGGCCCCGGTGTCGGGGCAGCTTGGGCAGGCTCCCCGGTGCCGGGATGCTGCGGGCCCCCCGCCGCCAGCCCCCGGCCCGGCCCCGGCCTCCGCGGGGCCGCTCTCCACCCACGTCCAAGCAAACCGGGCCGCTGCCGAGGGAGACGGGGGTGGCGAGAGGGGGCCGCGCGCTGGGGCTCCCGGATACCCACCCGCTGCCGTCCCGCCCGCCCCCGGTGTGCGGCACCGCTCGGTGCCCCCCGCGCCCGGCCCTGACGGGACCCCCGACCGCGCGCGGCCCCCGCGGCCCGCGCTGTCCCGCACCTCGCTCCGGCTCCAGCTCCGGCTCCAGCCCCGGCTCCGCTCTGCGCGGCTCGGGCGGTGCCGCCCGCCGGGGGCGGGTCGGCCCGGGCCGGGAACCGCCCGTCGGTGCCGCCCCGAGGGAGCGGGGCCGGATGCTGCCCGGGCCCGGAGCCAGGGAGGCAGCCCGGGGTCCCGCCGCGAGCCCCGTGCRCCGGGACGGGCCCCGACCCCCCGGTCCTGTCCCGCCTCCCGCAGCCGTCCCCACTCCAAGGAATCGCCTGCCCAGCCACCGCCAGCAGCGGCTTCCCTGTGGAAGTGCCCGGGAAGGGCCCTTCTCCCACTGTGCTGGGCACGGCATGGACATGAGAGGGTCAACCCTCTCCTCGGGAGCCGCCGTCTACTCCATGGGCACCAGCAGCTCCTTGAGTCCAGTAGAGCAGCACGGGCAGTGGGGACAGGGCACGGGCAGCGATGGGACACCAGGCTCCTCCCGATGGGACACCGGGCTCCTCCCGATGGGACACCGGGTTCCTCCGCCGCTCCGGCCCAGGGCGAGTCTCTGAGTCAGCAGCGGGAACGGCAGCTCCAGGCTCTGGCCTGGCCCCAGGCACATGAGCTGCTTCTATTTTAAGGGCTGGGAGGCATTTTTTTTTCTTAATTTGTCAACCTCCAGGCCCAGGGCTGGCTCCAAAGGGAATGTTCCCAAAAGGAAAAAAATGGAAACAGAGAAGAAGCTTTAAAGCAGCCTCTGCCTGTGCTGCCTTGCCTCATCATAGAGCTCCAGCCCGGGACAGTCCAGCCCAYGGGGAGCCAGGGCGCACCTGGGGCTCTGCAAACCCAGCCCTGCTCACACCGAGGGGTGATGCATGAGGGCAGGGTGCCCTGCGCTGGCCCTGGGAGATGGGACAGCCAGGAAGGGCCCTGTCCCCCCTGGAGCTGGGTGCTCTCCAGCTGCAGGCACCGGGTCAGTGCATCCCCCGCTCTGATCCCCTGCCTGGGGGCGGCTGGGGGCAGCCRGCCGTGCAGGGAACCAGCACCTGGGCATCCCGGCAGGAGCCCAGCGAGGCTGGCCCGGCGCAGGGCCCCCAAAGCCCTCAGTGGAGCCTCGTCTGGCCTTGCCCCACACCTCCCTGCCTGCCCCCCGGCGCAGCAGACACCAGCAGCAGACAGGAGCTGCACACATCAGAGCCAGCCGTTCATGTTTTGGTCTCTGTAGAGCATCCTCTTGACCAGCTCCTTGGGCTGGATCCTGCTGGGAAGCTCCAGGTGCGTGAACTCCTTGTGCAGCAGCTCCGGCCTCAGGAAGCCCTGCGGGAGGAGCCTGGGCTCAGTCCTGGCCACATCCCGGCTCCCGGCCTCATAGCCAAGGGTCTAGGGACAGCCGGGCCATGACAAAACAGGGGGAGCTTCTGCACAGAGAGGTTTGGGGAAGAACTAGACCAAAAAGGATCAAAACCACAAAAGGCCAAATTCTAGGACAAGCRGGAATTTGCCAGGGAAGAGCCAGGCCTGCAGAGATCCCTGAGGCTGCAAAGCTCAGTGCAGAAATCTCATCAGCCTGAGGGAAAGCGCCGTGGGGTCTGCGCAGGAGACGGCACCCGGCGGCAGCGGGACGAGGGATGGCCTGAGCACCAGTGCTGCCCAGCAGCAGCACCCAGGCCTGTCCCCATGGGCACCGTGGGGCCACCAACAGGAATGGGGCAGCCGGCAGTGCTGGGAAGTGGCAATGGGGAGAGGAGCAAGGAGGCAGGACCCGCTGGGGCAGCGCGCCCCGACGCCACGCAGCGCAGCAGCAAGCAGGTCCTGCAGGAGAGCATCCTGCTCGCGCCGTCCCTCCGCTCCAGCTCGCTCGGGAATAGCCTGGACAATGACAGCAGCCCTGGTGCTTTTCCAAGCGTGCTCCAGGGCAGGGCGCCCACCCAGCACCGCCTCTGCTGGGCTGCTGCCAGGGGGTCTTCGCACCTGGTAAAATTGTCCTTGTCCGGGACAAGCTGGAGAGGCACATCCAGGACAAAGGCACGGAGACTGCAGTGCCCACGGAGGCCAGCTGTGCACGGAGGCCCGAGGAGGCCGCAGGAATGCCCGCAGGGCCCCCAGGGCCAGCTGCGCGCGGAGGATCCACACAAAGGGCCATGGGGACCCCAAGTCTTTGTGCGCCGAGGCCGCGGGCAGTGCACGCTACCCAGTAGGGTCTCCTCAAGCCAATGCCCACAGAGGCACCGGGGGAACTGCCCAAAAACCTGCAGGGCGTCGGGTGCAACCTGCTGGTGGCCGCTGTGTCACCCATTCATTCATTGCTTCATTGTTCGCCTGGGGATGACACTGGGACACTCTGAGGAGAAACGCATGACCAAGGGTGCTCAAAAAGAAAAGGAGATGGGGGGAGAAAAGTAATAAATAGAATGAAAATAAAATGAAATTAAAATTAAATTAAATTAAAATAATAAAATAAAATTAAAATAATAAAATAAAATAAAATAAAATAAAATAAAATAAAATAAAATAAAATATAAAATAATAAAATAAAATAAAATAAAATAAAATAAAATAAAATAAAATAAAATAAAATAAAATAAAATAAAATAAAATAAAATGGCACCTTTCTACACTTTTCTCCTGGTTCTGGGAGCACGGTGGCTGACAGCAGAGGGCGGCACAGGCCTGTGGCCGAGGTGGCACCAGCGGCGCGTGGCCCTTCCCGGCCGCCTCCACTCTGTGCTGTGGGGTAGCAAGGCCAGGAGCGGGGATACGGGCGAGCTTTCGGTTCCCGAGCGTAACGAGAGGCCGGAGCAAGATTCAGTTCCCTTTCCCATGCCMAGTGCTTGAGTGGAGAAAGGAAATTTAAACTAGCGAAAATAACTCAGCTCCGTTTCAAAGCTCTGGGCTGTGGGGAGTACTTCTAGTCTGGAGTTGGAGTGTTGCATGGGCCGAGGTCCCGGAAGGGATCTGGTCCATGCAGGAGGACATCCAGGGTGGGAAACGCACTCCTCCAACCCAGAGTCTGTGCATGGTTTAAAACATGAGAACAACGGGGTTACCAGCACATCGCTTCATCCCGGGATTCARCCTCATCCCTGGGATCTCGCTTTGTCCTAGAGCCCTTTCCAGCCTYCCCGCATCCCTGCAAAGCCCTCAGTTGTCCCCCGCATCTGGGCAGGCTTTGCTGTCWCCAGGGCGTTCCACCTCCTGCCTTGACGCTCTGATTCTCAGATCATCTTCCCACGCTTCATTTCTTTTTCTTTTTGCCAAGACTTTGCTTGGAAACCCGAGGAYGCTGGAGAGGGCTCCTGGTCCTTGTTCTGACCATAACCCATCCTCAAAAGCAGCAGAGAAACCCCCTCTTTGGGACTCAAGCCCTTGGCATCCCCCAAGGGAGTCACGATTGCTGTCAGGTCTCAGCCTGCCGATTGTGGGGAGAAGCTCTGGCCCAGCCTGCCCTCAAATGACATTTTGCCGCTGCTCTYGCAGCTCTCGCAGCGCGGCGCGGTCGCCCCACGCGCAGCCGCTCTTCTCGTGAAGCCCAACGCCGCCCAGGTCGCTCCGAATCAACTGAAACGGCTGCTCAGCTCTGAAATCCCAGCTTCTGTTTCATTTTTTGGGTACTTAACCCCCTCCTCACTGCAATAAACACTATGATTAAGGATGTGAAAATGTCAYGTGAAGGAAGGGGTGAAAACCCTGAGAAAAAATAGAAGAAACACTTTGAGAGCCTCCCCTTCCAAAAACACCTTGTATTTTCAAGCAGAAGTTGCTAATTTGACTGTTTTTCTCCCCTTCATGCAGTAGAAAGCTCCAGGTGCCCGAAAGCAGCACGTGGCCCCGCTCGCCCGCAGAGCAGGAGCCCAAGCGGCGCTGGGAGCCGCTCCGGGGCTCTCCCGGCTCCGGCACGCCCGGAACTCATCCCCTCGTCCCCTCGTTTAGAAGAGCTCGTGCGCCCKGCAGTGCCGAGGGGTTTTGGCTGTCACCTCGGAGGGGTAAAAACACCCACCGCATCTGCAGCGCTTGCACGGGGCTATCTCGGCAGCGGGGCCCTCCCTGCGGCCAGTTTTCCGGGAAACACGGCCGCAGTTTGCGAGCGGTTACTGGAAGGGTGGGCCGTGCTGGGGCTGCGGCGGCGGCGATAGCAGCTCCCACCGAGGTCCTGGGGACGGGGAACTCAAGGTGGGGACGCAGAGATGTGGCGCCGGAGCCGGCGGCACTGCGGGCAGTTTTGCTTTCGCGTTAAGAGCCGCTTCCCGGAGGGAAAGCGAGAGAGGAGGTTAAATGTGAAACTGGCTCAAAACAGGTCTCGAGCTTTGCAGCCGTTTGGAGCTGCGCTTCCTGCTCGCAGCAGCCCCAAGGAAGAGATGAAAGATGCAGCTGAAGAGAAAGAAAACAAGAAAAAGCGAAACAAACCACTGTAGTTAACGCTTTGCTCCGAGGCAGCCTGCTCCGTGCAGGGCACTTKGAGCAGAGCAACCTGGCAAACAAAACCAGGGTGGTCCTAGAGCTGCAGGCTTGCAGGGCAACCGGCGGACAGGGAGAGGGGCTCCGTGCATGGAGGAGCAGGGAATGATGCGCAAGCCCCGGAGCCCTCGGCCGTGGCAAGGGGAAGAGCCCGGGCCAGGCAGCACTTCAAAACTAACCTTATTAAAACACACGAGAAAAACAAGCAACGCCCCCGCAGCGAGAGCGCTGTGCGAGTTGGGCAACGGGGTTTGACGGTTTGAAGGGCAAGGGAGCTCGGGAGCGACCGACTTCTCGTAATCGGAGCATCGGCTTCCTGTGCTGCGGCGCGGAGGTGGCGCCGGGCCAGCCCCCGGCGCGCGGCGCTCACGGAGCCGGAGCAGCAGGTCCCGGCGTTACCCGAATTTCATGTGGCCGACAACATCCGCCGTTGCGCAAGGCGGCTTTGATGTTTGTTTACGCGCTGCGCCCAGCGCACGCTGCGCGGCGGCCGGGCGCAACCGCCCCTGCGGGAAATGGGAGCGGGAAGGGCTCTGCGCCCCTTTGATCCCTCCCCAGGAGGCTCGTCGGGCACTGGGAGCTGCAGAGCTCAATGGGCGCTGGGGTGACGCTGCTCCTTCCCTAGCCTCACCTCTGCAAACGCCGCCTCGCTCCAGCCCCGGCGCTCGCTCCCGGCGCCGCGGGGGGCCCAGCGCACCCCGCGAGCTTCCCTCTTCCCGCACTATAAAGAGACAGCGCTGTGGGATTGCGTGGTTTGTTTTTATTTAAAACCGCATGTATAAAAAAAATAGGATTTCTGAATTCCCTCTGTACAATATTAACTATTAACAAAAACCCGCTGGCTACACATCGGTTACACGGACAGACTCAACTGCGCAGACAGCCCTGGTCAGCTCCCCCCCAGCACACAGGCGCACAGGACACCCCCAGCCCCCTACGGAGACCCCAGGACAGGCAGAAAACACCACCTGCAAACGGGGACCCGCACGCGGCAGGGAGCAAGAGCAACGAGAACGATTTGCAGACAGCCGGGGAGACATCGAGCAGAAGCAGCTCCCGGTAACGGGGGACGCAGGACGGACACGGTGGGGACACCCCCGCGGGAGGCCCGGGGCTCAGCAGCGGCAGAAGCGAGGCGCAGGTTGGACACCCGCGTGAGTTATAAATAAATAAATAAATTACGCTACCAGATAGGACCTTTCCAAAAAAAAAAAAAAAAAAAAAACAAAAGCCTCCACACAAATTCGTGAAAATAAATTACAAACAAAACAAAAAAAAATGGAAGAAAAAAAAAATAAGGTAACATGTTACCACTATTAACAACTGTACATCAAGCTTTGCTCCTGTATAATTCTGTACACACATTTACAGCTCGGTTGAGTTGCATTGTTTGTGCATTCGTGAGGGCATGGGAAGCAAGGAGCCCAAGAAAGAAACATTCCCGCAGGATGTGAGCTGTCACTTGCTTCGCTCCCGCCTTTCTCCCGAGTGRTTTCCTCTGCAGAAAGGATAAAAGTGGCTCTAGACCCAGGTAAGTTCTTGGGAGAAGCAGCAGTGTAGGAAGGTTCAAGTATTTCCTCCAGCACAGCCCGGATTGCAACGGAAGGCACTCGGTGACAGCGAAGAGGAGACACGCAGACGCAGTACTTGCCCTCCCAACATCCCTGGAACAGTTTTCACTGGTTGAAGCTTTTCTGATCTTCTCCGATCCTCTCACAGTCCCAAATTCAACAGGCCTGGGACACTCGCCTGAGCACCCATAAAACCAAACTTGCCAGAAGTTGACTGGCAAGACATAAAGGCAGGCAGGACCATTCAGTGTGAGTCCTGGACAACTGGAGTGGGTTGCAGCCACCAGTTCTTGAACGGCTGACTCTCCGGGATGAGATATAGATGCTCCCATACGACAATCCTCACTCAGTGCTACAGTCATGAAGAAGAAATCTCTTTTGTTTTTGTTTCGTTTAGTCTGGTTGTTTTTCTTGTTTGATTTTTTTTTTGTAGGGTTCTTTTGTTCTTTTCTTTTTTGTTTGTTTTTACAGCCCAAGTTATTTGCTGGACTCCTGGAGCAGACTGTGCAGGTGGATCTCTGCCGTCTGCTGTGCTAGGTGGACACCTTGCATCCACGAGTGGTTTAAAATGTCTTCGAAAGACGGCCTGTCCGAGGGTCGCAAGGACAGACACCACTTGATGAGATGCTGGCACTCTGGGAAACAGAAACCAAGAGCCATTCCAGGCGAGCTGAGACTCCACGGACCAGTGTTCCATGTCACTGCCCCCGTTATCCCCACTGCGCTCACGGCTGCTCCCAACACCCAAATCACCCATTACCAGCCCGTAAGAGCCGGACACTTGCAGCACCATCTGCTAACGCGTGATATTCCTTAAAAAAATAAGCACCATGTGCCCACCTGGAGAGACCCTGTGCCGGAAGAACACCTGGCCGCGCACAATCTCCTCGTCGTGCTCGAAGGGGATGTCGCCGCACACCATGTCGTAGAGCAGCACGCCCAGGGACCACACGGCCGCCGAGCGCCCGTGGTAGCGGTGGTAGCGGATCCACTCGGGAGGGCTRTACACCCTGGTGCCTGCACGGGGCACGGCCGTTAAGGCAAACGTCGCGGCGCCCGTTGGGCGAACGCCACGGGAATAACGGCGTGGAAAAAGCCGGCACGGCTTTTTCCACGCCGTTATTCCCGTGGCGTTCGCCCAACGGCTTTTTCCACGCCGTTATTCCCGTGGCGTTCGCCCAACGGGCGCCACAAGGCTTGCATCGCGCCCATGGGGACCCTTGCCGCGCATCCCGTGCATGGGGTGGGGGGACAAGGGGGGGACCCCGGTGCCACCCGCCACCACGTGACTCTTGTTTACAAACTTTGGGTTGTAGAACGAAGCCGCCGGTACCGGCAGGGGGCGGCACCGGCGCGGGGAAGGCCCCGGCGCCCCGACCGTTACATGCAAAGCCTGGGAACACCCACGGCAGCGGGGAAAACCCCACCCCTCCCACGGCAAAAATACGAGAAACCCAGAAAAAAAACCAAAAAATTGAAAAATGCCAGGCAAAGAGAAACCCAGAAATATATAATTAAAAAAAAAAAAAAAAATGCCAGGCAAATGAGCAGCAGCCAAGCCCTGCCCGACGCCAACCAGCCCCGCGCTCAGGTGTTGCAACAACCCCCTGGGGGGGGKTTGTTCCTGCAGGGTTGTCTCTACACCCCCCGAAAAATAACAATAAAGAAGCAGGTTGAGGGTCTGCGCTGGGCTGCCAAGCATCGGGCATCAGCTCCCGTTCCGCAACGCGCAGTATCGTGACAAAACAGAACCCGATAACCATAATAAATAAAATGAAAACTTTGCGGCACGGCAGAATTCCGCACCCTCCCCAAACGCCCCTCCGAGCACGGGACTGTGCTCACCGTCAAAATCCGTGTAGACCGTGTCCTTGAGGAGGGCGCCGGAGCCGAAGTCGATGAGCTTGAGCTCGCCCGTGGCCAGGTCCACGAGGATGTTCTCGTCCTTGATGTCGCGGTGCAGGACGCCGCAGCTGTGGCAGTGCCGCACGGCCTCGAGCACCTGCGCGAAGAGGCCGCGCGCCAGCTCCTCGGGCAGCGCGCCGCGCTCCGTGATGAAGTCGAAGAGGTCCTGCCCGCGCTCGGGCCGCTCCAGCACCAGCACGAAGCTGTCGGGCCGCTCGAACCAGTCGAGGAGGCGGATGACGCCGCGGAAGCCCGAGCCCACCTTCTTGAGCAGCAGGATCTCCATGGGCACGCGGGTGCCGCCGGGCTGCGGGTGACGAGGGGGGGTCAGCGCCAGCGACCCGGTGCGTGCACCCATCCCAGGCTGGGGACCCCATACTCACCAGTTCGCCCCACTCCGAGATGCGGTCGCGTGCCACGTGCTTGATGGCCACCTGCACGGCAAAGGGGCGGCGGGGTGAGCGCGGGGCCTGCCCGGGCGCCCCGGTTTTCCGCCACCCCAGTCCCGCTCTTACCGGGGCGCTGTCGGAGAGGCGGACGCCCGAGTAGACGGAGCCGAAGCCGCCGCTGCCCAGGAGCGGGCCCACCTGGTAGAGCTTCTCCAGCGGCTCCTTCTCCTTGCCTGCGGGCGAGGCAGCGCCCTGAGCCCCTGCACGCCGGCACCGACCGCCCCGCCGGGCGGCGCCGAACCGGGCCGAACCGGAGCGAACCGCGCCGGAGCGGAGCGAGGCCGGCCTCACCTGGCTGCAGCTTGGCCGCGTGCAGCTCCCCGCCGGGCGCCGCCGGCCGCAGATGGGCCAGCGAGTTGATCTTGGAGAGCAGCATCCCGGCGGCCGGAGGCGGCACCGCCCGAAGCGGAGCGGGCGCCAGCGGAGCGGCCCCGGCGGGCGGGCGGCC